TTAAAAATAAGTGCATGTATACGAGTACGTAAAGCTGTTCTTGAATATGCTGATCCCATAACTCGACCACCGACAGTTTTAATATGTTGTAGAAGTTTATTTAATGCACTATTTGCTTCTGTATTGTATGTTCTTTTGGAATTGTTGTCCAGAGCCATTTCAATATCTTTGCTATTAATTGATTGGATTTCATTAGCTGATGCTTGAAAATAAGGTTTTGTTGCGATTAATTGAGCATGAAAACAAGCATCACGTCGTTGCAATAAGTTGAAAACTACAAATATGAAACTATGATTTGTTTCAAAGCGACGATCATTATAAGATAATAGATAACGTATATGTTCTTTAAATTTGATTTCAATTGGACGTGATTGATCTTCAGGTGCTCCTCGTCCATAACAGAATAAAGTTGGATATAAACCAGTTAATAATTTTGGATTGAAATATTCATTGACAGATTTCGATGAATGTGGAATTAAGTAAACGTTTTCAGTAACTGCTTGGTCATTTGTTTTTATTTTGTGTAAAAAGTAATTAACAATTTCATCTGATGATACTGATGAGCCATTAACATCAAGAACACCACTAAAATAACGAAGCTGTATGAATTCATTGATTTATTAAATACTCTTACCTATTACTGATAGATATGACAACTGCAGTAGTGCATTCTTTTGGATTCATTAATGGATCAGGAACATATCCAATTCTTTCAGATTGACCTTCTTCATCACCTATCTTTTGTTCTAAAGTTGACATGATGCATTTGGGTACATCATCTTCTGGTAATTGAGCAATATTTTCAAGATTTATGTTGATGTTTTGATAAAGTATATTATATTTTTTTAGCCATTGTAATGCCTGAATAATTCTCTTCTTCCGTACTGTCAAAACTTTTTTAAGATGAAGACGATCAGGTGGCCGAGCTCCAATAAAAATTACTTTAAGTGTATCACTAAGATCAGCAAGTGTAAGTGGCAAACTATTGACAATATTTGGTACATTTTGAAGGAAGGTAATACAATTTCCTTTCAATGCTGTTTGAGCAGTTGTAGTTGAATGAAAAGGTGATTGAAGTTTTATTATACACCTATTGTGACGATAGAGTGATATTAATTTTTCTTCTGGAATCGTCAACCCTTGTAATACGTTATATCACCTAGCCACATGTTATTCGCAGCTGAAAACTTCGGTATTTGTTCTTTTGAAAGAGAGCTATGGTATTTTTGGCAAAGAATACACATATTCACTCTGTTTTTTTCAAATAAGCCATTTTTGTACAAGATAATATCATTTTCGCAGTAGAAAGATGACAAACCAAAATTTGACTGATCTAAAAAAAACAATTCTGTAAATTTTCT